AGGCTGCGCCCGGCATGTCTGGCCCATGGGGCAGGCTGTGTCCTGCGGCACACGAAGCCATGGCCACCAAGGGATGCCCAGTGAAGGGAGACTAGGGCTCGCATGCCCCTGTGCTATGAGCCAGGAGGCATGGGGTGCCCAGATGCTGGGGCACCCAGCACTGGAAATGGGCTGCTGAGGAGGGCTCCTGCACCCCTCTGAGCTGGCACTGGTGTCCCCAGTGTGCTCGGGACCTGGGGCTGGCTGGAAGCCCATCCTGGCAGCCTGCTTAGAATCATAGAATCATAGAATCATAGAATGTTTTGGGTTGGAAGGGACCACTAGAGGTCATCGAGTCCAACCCCCCTGCAGTCAGCAGGGACACCGCCAACTAGATCAGGTTGCTCAGAGCCCCATCCAACCTGGCCTTGAATGTTTCCAGGGATGGGGCCTCCACTACCTCTCTGGGCAACCTGTTCCAGTGGTTTACCACCCTCATTGTAAAGAATTTTTTCCTTATATCTAGCCTAAACCTACCCCGATTTAGTTTAAAACCATTACCCCTTGTCCTAACGCAGCTGGCCCTACTAAAAAGGTTTTCCCCCTCTTTCCTATAGGCCCCCTTTAGGTACTGAAAGGCCGCAATCAGGTCTCCCCGCAGCCTTCTTTTCTCTAGACTGAACAAGCCCAACTCTCTCAGCCTGTCCTCATAGGAGAGGTGCTCCAGCCCTCGGATCATTTTAGTAGCCCTCTTCTGGACCCGCTCCAACACTTCCATGTCCTTCTTGTGCTGAGGGCTCCAGAGCTGGACGCAGTACTCTAGGTGAGGTCTCACCAGAGCTGAGTAGAGGGGCAGAATTACCTCCCTCGACCTGCTGGCCACGCTCCTCCTGATGCAGCCCAGAGTACGGTTGGCCTTCTGGGCTGCCAGGGCACATTGCCGGCTCATGTCCAGCTTTTTATCCACCAGCACCCCCAAGTCCCTCTCGGGCGTGGTGCAAGCCTATCCTGGCAGCCTGCTTCTCCCTGCCCGGAGGCTCCAGCTCAGCCCTTGCAGGCAGGACCAAGGCTTGGCCCTCTGCACCCTCTGCCTGGCCCCGATAAAGCACCATGGCCTCAGGTCCCCATCTTGTGGCAGCAGGGACAAATGGCTGGGACAAAACTCACCCCGGCTCTTCAGAGCTCAGCGGTTCTTTGGCCAGGAAGAACCCTGGGAAAGAGCTGTAGACCCCTGGGAAAGAGCTGCGGAGCCAGGATGCTGCCCACTACCAAACAACATGTCCTGCCTAAGGACACCACACAGCATGGGAGTGGTTGGAAGTGAAAACCTAGCAGAGGTGGTGTGGACGACTGCCAACCCCTTCCCCTCCACGCACGTGCCGTCCCCCGCGCTGCTCTTACGCCTTGCCTCTTATGCCCACACCATATGCGTAAGGACCCTGCGAGGATCTGCAGCGGCTGGATTTAGGACCATCCCAAGTCTGTGCTGGGTTTGATGCTGGCTCTTCCCGGTGCTTTACACGCTTGTCCACACCACCTTGCACAGCTGTGTACCCTGACACACACCCCCCCTCCATGCCCCTGCTCTCCCCGAGCTCCCTGGGGAGCAGAGTTGTGCCCACAGCTACGTCTGGGTGGTGTTGGCTGGAAGGGTGTGACCTGCTCTGACACCCTGCTCCATGCAAAGGTAGATCAGGTTGGCCAGTGACACTCTGCCCAGCTTTGTCTTCCCCTCCTCACCATGCCCAGGCGTGGTGGCCATATGTGGTGCTTCACAGGAGAAACCCTGGGGCCTGCAGGGCATCCCTCTCTCCCTGGAGTCCTTTGGGGTCTCTCCAGCCTCTGATATGTTCACTGATGGTGACTGGAGGCTGTGGGGCTGGGGCTTGCAAGCGCCAGGGAGCAAAGGGGCCCATGGCAACCTCAGCTTGGCTCTGTGCTCTGGCTCTGCTGCACCAGCTGCCCTGGGACTTTCTCAAACCTTCACCCCAGCACTGAGCACCTCCCAGCCCTGGCAGGGATGGGGCAACCTTACTCAGCACTTGGCAGGTTGTAGCCCCCTGGGATTATCTGCTGCCCCATCTCCCTCCACACCCACAGCTGGAGGAGAGCCCACACTCTCCTTTATCAGCTGCCCGCAGTCGTGTGTGTCCCCCCCCTCCACGGCCACCCTGCTGCAGGCTGCGATAAGGGCCAGGGGCTGCACAGGCACCAGCCCCGTGGCACCCAGCACCGCTTGTGCTCATTTTCCTGCCCTGACAACCCCTACCCTGCTGCAGTTCAGGGCTCAAAGAGCAGGAGCTGGTGCTGAGCCCTATCTGCTCCCCTTGCCAGTCCCCCATGCCCACTGTCTCTCCCAGCCCCCCAAGACCCCTCCAAAGTGACACCCCAGCAGTGCGACGTTAGGTAGAAACGGGAGAATTCCTACACCACCACACAGCCCTGCGTGCTGGGGATGCACAGAAAGACGCCCTTGCGCTGGGAGGTCCTCAGGGTGTTCTCACTGTGCCACCACGCAGAGGGTCACAGGCACTGGAAGCCCCCATTCCCCACCGTGTCTTGCAAGCACTTCCAGGACAAGATGATCTCCAGCAATTTGGCCTGAAAAGGGGTAAGAGGTGCACAGGGCGCGTGGGACAGGATGGGATCTCTGGTGAGAAGGCAGGGAGCTCCCAAGGGCCAGGCTCTGGCCGCTCTCTTCGAGTCTTTCCCCTCCACCAGTCCTTGGAAATGCTCTGCTTGGTCCCAGACGCCCACGGCTGGCAGAGCGGTGTCTGCCTGCCAGGCACCACCACCCAAAGGCTGCCTCTCTGAGACAGCAAAACCAGAGCCCGTTTCCTCCGTGTGCACACCCGGCAGGGGGAGGAGACCCCCAGTTCGGACCCCTGGAGCAGATCCCTCCCGCTCCCTTCCCGCAGGCAGCAACCAGAGCAGGACACCAGGGCTGGAGCACAAATGCAACAAATTTTATTTCAGGTCATTTGGCTGCTCGCTGTCAGAGGGCTGGCGGTGGGTTGGGTCCAGCTCTAGCCATGGTGCCGTCTTAACGGTACTTGGCAGTCAGCACAGTGGCCACAGCGCACAGGAACTTGTCCAGGGAAGCGTGGACCTCCGGGGTCAGGACAGCAGGGTGGTGGATGGCCACCACCACCAGGAAGCATTGGCCCAGCAGCTGAAAGGCAGAAGGAGATGGTGAGAGAGGGGGTGAGGCGAGGGGGTAGCCAGAGGGGTGCAGGAGGAGAACCAGACTGGTCACCCTTTCCCAGACACTCACTTTGAAGTTGACGGGGTCAACACGGAGCTTTTGGGCGTGGAGGTCGCTCAGCTTGGAGAGGGCACCCGCGATGTCATCGATGTGGTTGGCAGCGTCGGCCAGTGCACCCGCCACCTTTTTGCCATGCTCCTTGATCTGAGCTGAGTCGGCGTGCAGGTCGAAGTGGGCGAAGTAGGTCTTGGTCTGGGGGTAGGTGGTGAACAACCTGGGGGACAAAGGAGGTCAGGGATGGGTGGGGATGGGGACAGACGAGACAGGGTCACATAGAACAGGGACAGTTGTGGATGGGGAGGGGATGGGGACAGATGGGAGGGAGTCGGGGACAGACAGGAAAGGGGATGATGACAGGGATGGACACATACCTCACCAGGGCCTCCCTGCCTATGTCACCGAGGTGGGGGCCTATTTTGCCAAAGACGGTCTTCACATGGGTCTTGTCACAGGCGGAGAGCACCATGGTGTCACCTCTGTGTTGGCAG